CATCTCTCTTTCAGGGGACGGAGTCTCTCCACCCTTCCAGTCTTTTCTTCCATCTAACTCAAATCATTCCTGGTACAGTGGATTTTCTGGAGAGAAATAAACAACTGAACTTTGGGAGCATGTGGAGGCTGCTATTTCTCATTTTCATCTTTTTTCCTCTAGTTGGAAACTTTTTCTGAAGGAGGCTTTGAGGGCCAGATGGTCTATGTTGCAACTAGGTTCTGCCCATTCCACATAAAAGCAGCCACGGTCCACATGTAAACCATGAGCAGAGCCTGGTTCCAGGAAAACTTCCCAGAACGAGTCGGGGGCTGGATTTGGCTCATGGGTTGGAATTAAGTGACTCCTGCTCAAAGCAAATCAGTCCACTTCTGGTATTTCTTGATGTACACACGAAGCTCCTTGGGTTTTTCCTCTTCTCTGCACTTGGGAGCAGACTCTGTGGGCTCCACTTGCTATTCCTGCAGAAAGCTTCTCTCTCTACTCACTGAGAGCTCCTTGGGGGTCAGGACCATGTTATTTGAGACTCTGAACTCTTCAAATGGAACTTGATAGAAATGCAAACACCATCCAGTCTTCTACCTGAAACATTTAGAAGTTAAAGGTGAAAATGTTCTCAAAACAGATAAATTCCATGACAGAATCAGGAAGAGAGGGAGGGATCAGGAGAATGTGCCCCTGACGAACCCAATAGTGAATTTTGAAAAACCTAAGGAAGGAAAGAAGAAAAAAATTTAAGTGAAAAATTAACCTTGACACCCTAAAGCACTGAAAGCCAAGCAAATGCATAAATAAAACCCATGCCTTGGAGACGTTTGGTGGTTTCTTCTTACATCTGAACACATAAGCATGCCATGTCTTCCAGCAATTTCCCTCCCCGGAATCAGCCTAAGAGATGTGACAGCATTTGTCCACGTGAAAACATACACACGGAGATCATAGCAGTGTAACCCATCATAGCCCCAACTAAAGCCACCCAACTATCCACCGACCAAGAAATGGTGGTGTTCGTGTGTACCAGGGAATACCATTCAGCAAGAAAAAGAACTACTTCAGGAGGCTGAGGCAGGAGGATTGCAAGTTCAAAGCCAGCCTCAGCAACTTAGGAGTCCCTGAGCAACTTAGTGAGACCTTATCTCAACAAAATAAAAAGGGCTGGGGATGTTTCTCAGTGGTTAGTGCTCCTGGGTCCAATCCCTGGTATCAAAAAAAGAACTACTCATAAATGTCGCAACGACTCAGCAGACTACCTATGGTGTGAGTCCAATTCTAGGAAATGTCCAGAGACAGTAAATTTATGGAGACAGGAAGCACATCAGCCTTTGCCTAAGGCTGGGGATGGGAGCAGGGATTAACTGAAAGTGGACACAAGGGACCGTTGGAGGTGATGGAAATGTTCGCCAGTAGCATTACCGCGATGTACAACTGCCTGAAATTTACTAAAATCACTGAATTGTGCACTTTCAATTATATACTTTCAATTTTATGATATGCAAATTATATCTCAATAAAGATGCTACAAATAACAAAATGGAACAAAACCTGGTGCAAACCATTGTTCTGTGCAGGACTGAGAGAAGCTGCAGGAGGGGAGACTGAGGTGGTTTCCCCAGCAAAACGTGGATGCCATTGCTATAAAACATCCGACGTGACTTCACCTGGACTCATTTGTCAATCCCATTCAGTTCAAATGCCCAATAACAGCAGCCAGTTTTCACTGGGCACCACAATCCTAAGAGGATGATGGCTAGTATTAACCCATTTTCCAGAAAAAGAAGTCAGGATCAGAGAGGGAAAGCATCACTCAAGGTTCCACAGCTCCTACGTAGCAGAGCTGGGACAGGAACCTCATCCTGCCTGATTACAGAAACGGTGCTCTTTGCCAAGTTATTTGCTACCTACCTACCCCTCCTGCCTGTCCTCTGGCCACCAACTCTTTGGTCCCAAGGAGAAAAGCATGGTGCCGTAGGGCATGCAGTAAGCTTCCCTGTCTCTCTGTCACCAACATTGGCTTGCATGAGGTCTCAGGTAGGCATTGTCACTGTAGTAGCTGACCTCTGGAGCACGCAGTAGCAAAAGCCTGGCTGGGCTTCCGTCAAGGTGAACCAACAGCCAGGGAGAGAGTCTCAGGCTGAGCTGCAGGCCTGCTTGGTCGGATTTCCCTGGGGCTCCAGGGAATGGTCATTCCATGCTGGGGCTTTAGAACTGGCTGCTCTGCCTGCCCTCTGCACTGGGCACACCCGCCCTGGCAGGGAGCTGGCTGCCCCATCCTCCTTTCTGCTGTGCGACAGGGTCCATTGCCTTGCTCCCTCCCTGAAGCATCAGTCAGCTTTTCTGCCCCTCTGGGCCGACCACGGAGGGACATGCAGCAGTTGGAGGAAGGTCTTTGTAAGACTGCCTGGCACAGGCCCAAGAATGCCTGTGACACGGGAGGGAGGTGACTCTCACACCCAAAGGCCTCTTCTGGGATGAGCCAGCCTCGGGGCACGGGCATGAGGGGGCAGAGCATCTCCTCTTCCCTGGTCCCTTCCACCCCACGCACCAGGAGCCCCTGATACTCCTCAGGCAGGCTGGGCCCTGCCCTCCTCCTGGCTTCCTGTTCCTTTTACTGGAAACACCAGTGCTTGGACCTTCACCTTCTTCAGCTCTTTGCAGCAACATCACCCTCTCGGGAGGCCTCTCTGACTATGCATTTGAAATTGCGGTCCCACCCCAGCGCAGCCTTCTCTTTCTGCCTTGCTCTTCTGCACAGCATCTACTGCCATCTGAGGCGCCTGTGTTTTACTTCCCCTCTGCAACATAAGCTCCATAAGGGAAGAGAGTTCTGTCTGGCTCTGGATCTGCACAGCCTTCCACAGAACCTGGCAGGTGGCAGGTGGCATGGAGGAATGCACTTCCCCATCAGGTTGAGCCTCTAAACAGCATCTCTGCAACTATCAGCCAAACACACTAGGAGGATTTCATTGAGCCCAGCAGGGAATAACCAAGCCTACTCAGAGGTGACAGGAGCCAGCCTAGGGGAAGTGGGTAAGGAGCCAGTCAGTATGACATACGGAGGAGCAGCACCCAGACTCAGGAGGCCTGCAGGACACCACAGGGCTGGAACCTGCGGATACTTGTCTAGTCTGTCCTACACCTGAAGGCCATCTGCTGGGGAAGTTCTCTGAAGTCTGGGCTATGTGACACTGCTGGCTGTCACATAAGGAAGGGGTCTTAGGAAAAGGATTGGACAAATATAGATTTCAGGGTATCTGCTTAGAAGATACTTCACCTGGGTCTGCTGTGCCTCACCTGGTCTGCTGGCTTCGTGCCCCTCTCCCTGGGGACAGGCCTCCTAAGCTCAGCCACATGGACAGGGCTCACACTGCAGGCCTGAATATACTCCAGGGATGAGAGAGAATGGCATCTGCTTTGGGGATGGTGGGCGGTGGCGGGAGTTCCTCCTAGGGAGTAATCTGCAGCACTTTCCTAAACCAAAGGCAGCAGGGGGTGAACAACAACACAGGTGTTAAAATGTGCTGCAGTCAGGAAACTTGGTTCTGAATTCCAGCTCTGCCCGAGTACTGGATGATCTTGGGCAATCTCTTCACCTCTCTGAACCTTGGTTTCCTCATCTGTCAAATGGGACAACCACAGTACTTGTTTCACTGGGAGGACCCAATTAAGTAATTCCTACATGCTGAGCCTAGTAGCTGACACGTAGCGAGAGCTCAGTAACAGAATTTGTAGCTGCTACTGTTATAAAGGGAGGAAGGAGTCAACCCCAGTCACTTGCTCAGGCTGGCTGAAGACCTCCAAGGTTATCCAAGTCCTGAGGCAGTGGAATTTGCCAGTAATTAAGAGAACAGCAATTCAGCCCTTCTCCTTTGGGTTTCAACCCTGATCGAAACTTCTCAGTGGCCACAGGAATCATTCAAGGAGGGCCTGACTAGGGCTGCAAGTGGGACTCTGGAAAAGGAGGAAACAGGACCCCCAAGCTACTAAGTCCCTGAGTTTATTAATTAACAGACAAGCATTTGCTCTGTCTGCTCCAAACTCGTGGCTCACCAGGGAAGGGCACCTTAGTCACACAAAAATAACCCCCCAGCGGGTTTTTGATGTGTGGAGCCTCTTTGTTTTTCTGAATTTTAATGAAGGGCTTTCCAGGCAGGATGAGAGACGCACTCAGGGCTCCCTGTGGCCAAGGAGTGGGCCTCAGTCAGCTGCGGCCACCTGCATGGGCCTGAGCCAAAGCAGGGGCCTGGAGAGACTGGCAGGGGAAGGTGCCTGTCCTGAGATGTGTCTGGGAGTAAGCAAGAAAAACAAAAACAAGAGGGGAAGGCTGGGCTCTGCTCCCTGTCAGCACGTGGTGGGAGAGACCAGAGGGTACGGGGCAGAGCAGAGCAGCAGCTGTGTACCCCAGGGTCAGAGGCTGGTCAGAGGCTCCCGACAACGGGTGAGGAGGGGGCTGCTCCTGGGAGAATGTTCTGAGGTGTTCTCAGGGAGACTCGGTTTGCCCCTCCCAAGGAGCACCTGGAAGGGGGCTCTGGCACCATGTGGCAGAAGGGAGGTGTGGGCCTTAGAGCTCAAGGCGTGGGGTACAGGCGGGTGGGGACGGTGGTGGAAGGGAGAGTATTATCCAAACAGCCACCAGGCCCTGAGGTGACCCAACTCATCACGCCCCTGCTTGCTCCTCGGCGCCAGCTGCCTGGAAGACAGAACAACACAACACTCCCACCACAGGGCCCCATGGCGCTCAAGGGCCAGTCAGAAGGCATCATGCCAGGCCAGGCCCTCCCAGGACCAGGGTAGGCAACTGTCTGCAACCTCCTGCAGGGAGCACTGCCCGGTTCCGGGCTACAGGGAGAGAAGCTGCAACTGCCAGTGGCCCCCACTCCTCCCACACAGAGCTCCCCTCAGGCTCTTCAGCTCCCTGGAGCTCAGAGCTGGCCTCAGACTGCTCACGAGTCTTTCCAGGTGCACACTGAGAAGGAGAGGGCTGGAAAGAAACCGAAGAGGCATCCACAGAATAAAGCCATTTATTGCATGTGAATGACCCAATGTGGTCTGCTGAAAATATTTTTATTACAAAATATCCCATATAAAAATTCTCATCCGCTTGCAAGTTTCCTTGGCTTGAGGCCTACTGCATGGCTCCAGGTCTGAGGCAGAGGTAATGCGTTCAGGTGTTCCGAGGTGGTCCTGGGGGGTCCTCCTTCTCAGTGTGCAGCTGGTCCCACTCAGTGAGGAGCTCCGAGGACACCTCCGTGTATAGATGGTCCCAGTCCCAACCAACATCGTCCTGACAACAAGGGTATCGCTTGGTAAGACAAAGAATGGCCTTTCCCCTCAATGGCAGCCACCTTCCCACACATCTGGGCCCCAGGGAAGTGCAGGCCAGCCTGGAGGGACAATGGCGAGTGGCTTCTGCTACCGTACCTCTCGTACTTCGTGCTCTGGCGCCAGCACTTTGGTGAGGAGCTTCAGGTCAATCTCGCCATCCTGTGAATGCACAAAAAGGCAGCTGGGACCTCAAGGGCAGTCAGGCAGCAATCTCTTGCAAAGCAAGGACAGGGCGATCGAAGGTGTTAGAATTCCCCACAGACTCAGGGACACGCCCTCATCAGAGTCAACACCTGAGGGGGCCACAGGGCCACTGAGAAAGGAGGAAAGGCTACGTGCTCCACGCTGGGCAGTGTTGGCAGAAGGGCCACACCAGGAGGATAGTGCGTGTCCTCAGGTGAAAGAGGGCGCGGCAATGGAGCAGCAGGGCCCGGCCCTGGGAAACATCAGAGGATGGTGGGCCTGGGCATGCTGCGAGATCCCCGAGGACACCATCTCCCAGGACAGTGGACAAGGTGCTGTACGGCTTTGGGGGAACTGAGAAATCTCTCTGCAGGGGCTGTGTGGAACCTGCCCCTCTGTGCAGAAGCTGTTCCACTCACCAAGGTCTGAAAGGCCGAGTACTTCATGAGGTCATTGTCCAGGTCTCGGTAGGTCATCACCCGGTTCACCTGGATGCTGAAGGACAGGAAGTGTGAGGAGGGACCACAGGCAGGACAGGTTCCAGGACTGCTGCTGGGCTACTGTGCCCAGAGTCTGGTAGGCAGCTGGGAATGACCAGGGTGGGAATCAAATGTGTGAACTAGTTAGGAACTCGGGACGGAGCCATCACCAGACTGCCTCTATACTGCGGGGCAGCAAGGCCTCTCCAGAGGGTGGCTGGGTGTGTTAATCTGTTCTGTTTCGTTGCCAGTTTCTGACCTAACTGAACCTACCTCGGAGGCGATGCCACCTGCAAAACAAAGTCTTCCTCCTGCACTTCTTCCAGATCCGGGATGATGGGAATATCTGCAAGGAGAGGAGGAGGCTCAGTGGTCCACAGCACACGGGATCTGGCCAGCTTCTCCGTTTACTACGGATTCACCTTCCACACCCAGCTGGGGGGCTGTGCACTGAGGGTTGAATGGAGTCTCTGGTCTCCAGGAGTTCCCGGCATAGGACTGTGGTACCAAACTAGGGCAAGCGTTAGAATCAAAAGTGGAGCCAGGCGGGTGGCGCGTGCCTGGAATCCCAGTGGCTTAGGAGCTGAGGTAGGAGGATCCTGAGTTCAAAGCCTGCCTCAGCAAAAGTGAGGCCCTAAGCAATTCAGTGAGAGACTGTCTCTAAATAAAATTCAAAATAGGGCTGGAGATGTGGCTCAGTGGTTGAGTGTCCCTAAGTTCAATCCTGGGTACAAAAAAAAAAAAAAGTGGAGCTTCAGTAATTTGTGACCCCCAGGCCTTTCCCCCATAATGTGCTGATGGAGAACCCCCTGGTGGGGCTCATTCACCTGTACTTTTCCCTAAGATTTCTTCAGTGACTCTGATGCATGCAGCAGATTGGGAGCCTTGGGGTGATCTCCAAAGAGAGAAGGAAAGAAATGAGAAGAGCCTCCATTCTGTCCCAGACAGCATTTGGGGCTTGGAACAGAGGAAAAAGGAAAAGGAACAGATGCATGAGCCTGGCATGGTCAGAGACAGAACCGAGGATGTGTACTGTCACAAAATCATGTCACTGTGAGCACCACCTGATTATGACCAATACTAAGGCACGCATTAAGTCTAGAAAGCAACCGTCACAGTCCAGGTCACAGCAGTCAGCTGCATCTAAAGGACTTTTTACACCAATGATGCATCCTGGATCCCCAACTTTGTTTTGGTGTTCGGGGCTCCACCTGGCAGGCTGGGGAGAACAAACACCACCCAGTCTAATCATCACACTTCTCTGGCTGTCTCACGGGGCTTCCTTCTCTGAGACACAATTAGAGACATACGCGGAGACACAAGGCCAGTTCTTCTATCAGCTTAACAAAGTCACACACACACTGAGAGACGGCGCGTCACTTCATTGTGGCATCTTGCTTCAGTTCCCCAAAACTGCCTGCCCTCATGGGGACAAATTAACTCCCTAAAGAAACAGTCATTACTGGCTCCAAATGAGCATCACTGGCTGGTTGAGGGGTTTCGCTTTAACCAATCAGGAAAACAACTAAAAGAGGTGGGGCAGGAGAAAAGGTCAGGTGGGGTAAGAAAGTCCAGCAATTCCCAAACCAACTGCAAACACCCAAATGAGGAACATTCCAGAGGAGAAAAGTGAAGACACCCCTCACTTCTACTTCCAAGGACTGAGTTCTATTTTATTTCCAAAAGAGGCACACACTCACTCCAGCAACAGCTGGGAGGACCCTGGTCACTGTCAGCCCCTGGTTATTTAGACTTTGTGACTGCTCTAGTCCAGCTCAGCCGAGTACACAGACGTCGGATTCCAGCTGCTGCCTTCATTACTACTTCTCACTACAGACTCACAGCTGTTGCACCTGGAAAAAGAGAGAGAGAGGGCAAGAGAGAGACGGAGACACAGAAAAGAAAACAGAAAGAGATAGGCAGAGAAAGGAAATAGTGAAAAGGGATAAAAAATAAAGAGAAATTGCTGATAGGGATAAAGAAGAGACACATACACCGCCCCCAAAATATAATGAACCACATTCAGCAAGTCCAATGTCTATAAAGAAGCTGTTCAAGCTTAGATCATATCTCCTTGGCCTTGGAGAGAATTAGAGATGGAATTTGCTAAGAGTCTATTTCTTATGCTAATAGAAATTTAGCTTCCTTTCTCGATCCCCTTCTGAGTGATTCATACAATCCATTGTGTGGGCTGCTCAGGCTGCTCTGCTCCTGGAGCCCTGGCTGTGTGGGGCTCCCTGGCTTTGAGATGGCACAGGCCCTGCAGAGGGACAGGGGAAGCTGGCTGTGCCACGTGCCATCAGCAGTGTGACAGTTTTGGAATGAGCCAGTTAGCTGCCACTAGTGGCTCTCCTCGGTGTGGAGTCCAGCCTGAGATGAATATTCAGAAGTTGGTAAGGAAATGCCCCATGCTGAGTTTAGGGCCCAGGACAGGGTCTTCTCAAACTCCCCTTTCCCTCAGCAACTTTAGCATTTGGGTCTTGTCAGCTCTGCCCAGCTTCTCTGAGCTCGGAGGAATTGCACTTCTGCCCAATGTCCACTCTCACTCCCCATGGACCTCCCTCTTGGTACCCACCCCCCTCCTCCAAATGTGCACAAAAGAATGTGGGGCTGGCCCATCTGTGACAGATCAGAGGTCATCGCGGGCCTTGGCAAAGGGGCTGCTCAGAGCAGCGCTGGCGGGGCTGGCCGCACAGTGGGATTTCTCTCTAATTGGAAAGCCTGGTGCCCAGTAGAACCCGGTGAACCGCCTGAGTGGGACAGAGCCAGCGATGACAGCCAGGCCAAGGCAAGCTGGAACATTCCGGTGCAGTGACAGCTTGAGCCATCGCAGCAGAGGCAGCCCATCCAATTCCCCGCCCCCAGTGGAACAGGTGGCCGTGGAGCAGGTTTTGGGCAAACTTCAAAGAACTTCACAATTTTACAGTTTCTGATTTACAGTCGCAGACAAGTGTGAATGAGTTGGTCTGGGGACCTGCTTCTCTCTGTCCCCCATACCCCCTGCCATATCTACCATGAATAAACCTAGGAAAAAAGAAATGAACTTGATAAATCTGCTTCCTCACCAAATCACCCACAAGGGATGATCCAGCCCTGCTTCCGGTCAGAGACAGTGACCTGACCGGCAAATGTGGCCTGGTGACCAAGTCTTGTAGGTTGGGAAGGTTAACATGCAAAGCACATAGTTTTAACAGAGCTGATGAGAGGAACTGAGTATGAGAATACTGGTACTGTTGAAAAGCTACCACTATTTTTATTTTTTGCAGTGTTAGGGACTGACCTAGGTCCTGGAGCACATTAGGCAAGTGCTCTTACCACAGAGTTACATGCCCAACCCATCTGCTGCTATTTTTAAAATCCTACTATTTTTATTTATTTATTTATTTATTTATTTTTTGCATTTAAAAAAAATTTGTTCTATTTAGTTGTACATGACAGCAGAATGCAGTTCAATTCATCAGACACAAATGAAGCGCAACATTTCAAATTCTCTGGTAGTACATGGTGTAGAGACACACCAATCATGCAGTCATACATGTACCTAGGGTAATGATGTCCATCTCATTCCACCATCTTCCTACCCCTCCTATGACCCCTCCCCATTTCCGCTTTGCCCAATCCAGAGTTCCTCCATTCTTCCTATTCCCACCCCACCCCCCAATTATAGATCAGTATCCACTAATCAGAGAAAACATTTGATCTTTAGTTTTTTGGCAAAAATCTCGCTATTTTAAAAATCCAATAATTATATTAACTTTGTTCTTATTTCCCTCTATGCTGATATTACTCGAAGAACATTAACAGTAGCAACAAGATTAGTAAAGTAGGTGCAGGATTCCCAACAACAGCTTAAGAGAGCAGGCTGGAGACAGGATGGCCCAGTTCAAATCCTGTCTCCGCCACATACCCCGGTGGTGTGACTTTATCCTTTCTGAGCCTCAGTTTCTTTATCTGTAAAATGAAGATCATTACATGCACTTCATATGGTTTTTCAAAGTATCAAATGCAATAAACTTTATAAAATACTAAGCACTGTGCTCAGTATATAATATTCACTATTCTTAACAGATACTATAATATTGTGCATGCAGAAAACCCAGATGCTTCTACCTTGACTTTCTCATTGAATCCTGCCCAGTCCAGTTATTTTTTTAGAAGACAACAAGACTAAATCAAGATTAAGCAACTCATGTGAGGTAAAACCACTAATGATACTATTAATAATGCACCGCCAGGCAAGGGTAGACTTCCCTCTCCAAAGTGGCACCCACCCTACTCTGCTTCCCTTTTAAATGCAAAATGGCTTTGAAGACACCTCCTCCCACAGTGGAGGGGTGAGGCAAGGCCTATAGTTAGGACACCTTTATTTTTGCCTAAAATTTAATGTCCTGTGTTCTTGGGTATTCTCTCATTCCTATAACTGTAAATAAGCTTAAGTCCTCTCTCTCACAAGCCCTGACTTGCTCCTTCCCTCAAGGTCAAACAGAACAGAACAGTAAAAATGCACTCACACCAGAGAACCTGGAAATGCTGTCCACCATGTCTTACTAAACTAGCTCTGAGAAGGACAAGGTGGCCTGGTACCGGAACAGCCCCAGAGGAGGAGATGGCAAGGCAAGAGAACTTTGAGTGGCCCCAGTGCCCTGGGATGCAGGTTCCCCTCCTGTCCCAGTGCCACCCTCCCACCCAGCATCTGCTGTGTGGTCCCAGCTCACATCCCTCAACCCAGAGTCCTTCGGGGCCTTGCGCTTTCTCCCTGCCCCTCAGCTCTCCTGCAAGCTGCTCCACAGGCTCCTCTGCCCCACTTGGTGCCTGGTTGGCCACACTCTGGGAGATGTGATTTGTCTGCTTGTTCCCTCAGTTCATTCATTTGGGGAGCATTGGCCAAGCACCCACCAGGAGCAAGAAGCCAGGAGAGGTGGTGCCAATAATTAGCAAACAGAACACAGCTTGTAGTCTTCAGGAGCATGAGCATCAGCTAGATAGGACGGCACACACAAATAAACATCCTGCTTATGAATCAAAATACACAGTGGGAAAAATTACACAGTAGGAAAGAAACTAACTGGATTCCACGATAGACAATACCAGGGAGACCTAATTGTTTTATATTTCTGAAGTAGAAGTCACACGATAGATCCAGTCATCTCATCTCCCTAGAGGTAATCACTCAATTTCTTGTATGTTTACTGAAAAGCACTTATGCATATCATAGTATATATGGCCCCCCCTTTTTTGGTACCAAGAATTAAACCCAGGGGTCCTTAACCTCTGAGCCACATCCCCAGCCCTTTTTTAATATTTCATTTAGAGATAGGGTCTCACTGAGTTGTTTAGGGCCTCACT